TTTATAAACAACTATTTCAATCGCTTTTTGCGGTAAGCGGTCGATTTTTCGCGATTGACGTCATTTCCTTCAACCCTCTAGTTATGTTTATTTTACTTCAAGAAATGGCGGTGAGAGCAAGGATCATTTTGATTTGAAACGACTCAAATGTGATGATTATGGAATTCCTCAAGATATTAGCAAAAGATACTTTGTCTTTGCTCAAAGGAAGTTCCAAGACCCACCCAGCCATCTTAGTCATGTGGGTTACTCTTGGATTTCGCTTCCGTAATACTCTTGATTATTACATTCTGTTTAAGATCCCTCCATGGATGATTCGACATTTCGAATATGCCGTGCAATTATCAATGGATTTTGTCAATGACCTTAAGTTCAAGCGGATGAAGGAGCTCCGAAAGTCGCAACGAGAACTTCCAATCGCCGAAAGAAAGCAAGAGATATTGGAGCTTTTACGTGATGTAAGTTATATCTTTTCATTTTTTTTCAAGGTTCCTTTCTTTTCCTACAATTCTGTAGGTTCATATTTTTAGAATCCAAGTTCTCATAATAGCTGGTGACACTGGATGCGGAAAAAGTACTCAGGTAAGATTGCCTTCACAATTATTATTTTCGCTGTTTGGGTAGGCATCAAAACGAGAAAACAGCTTGTTCTCAAAGTGACATTATCGCATGTCGTTAGCATTTGGGCTCTAATTGCCTTTAATTTATCATTTGCTCTGCTAGTTTTCTTTTTATTTACTTGCTATTTTGAGGTTCCCCAATATCTTCTTCAAAATGGTTACGCTGGTATAGCTTGTACACAACCTCGTCGAATCGCTTGTACCGCATTAGCTCGTCGAGTTGCTTACGAAACGCTCAATGCATACGGAAGTGAAGTAGCTTATCAAATACGGTAAGCAATGAGATAATACGGAATAGGTTGCCTTTTCAACCTTTCGGAGGCCTATGCTCTTTCTAAGCTGTTTTTGAGGGATTCCCGCCGTACATCTTCCTTTTTCAGGTTTGAGACCACAAAATCTAAGCGTACAAAAATGCTCTTTTTGACCGAAGGCTTACTGCTCCGTCAGATGGAGAACGATTCTCTCCTTCAGCAGTATAATGTAAGGGAATCACGTCTTTGTTGTTTCTAATTTTTCTGGTCCAGATTGAGAAACGATTTAAAAGTTTTCAAGATGTTTCCAGGTCGTAATACTTGATGAGGTTCATGAGCGTCATTTGAGTAGTGATTTGCTGATTGGGCTCCTCCGTGATTTGATTGGAAAGCGAGATGATCTGAAAAGCCATCTCATGTCTTCGCCTGCATCAACTTGAAGTTGTTCAAAGAATCTATTCGATAGAGCTCCTGTTATTCATCGTAACTGTTAAGATTGTACGAAGTATAAACAAGCTCTCGTTTGCTGGAGACACTGGAAGTCTCATGTGCCTTTCAAATGATTGTCATTATCAATATAAGGTGATGTAGCTGTCATTTCCTTTCCTTTTGTTTGTAACGATTATGTGCACATTTCACGCCTCAGTGCTTCTATTTTCCCCCTCCCCCTGCGCCACATCCCCTTCAAATTCTGAGCCGGCCGTGAAGGACTGCTATTCCAAATGTTGTGGTGACCCCCGATTTTTTCTACTCTTTCCAAAATTCTATATATTTCATACCTTATGTTTTAGGTTCCAGGCCCCATTTTCACTTCGTTTTTCTTTTTTTTTTATTCGCCGATCAAACAGTACATACCAGACAATGAAAAGAAAAGTCATAAGATCGACCCGGAGCCGTACGTTAGAATACTCGAAGTCTGTTGAGTTTTATTTTGAATGTCCAATTCATACAGTTTGAAAACATGTTTCTAGCTCATTGATGAGAAGTCAGTTTCCTTCTACGGAGCGCGGAGATGCTCTCGTGTTTTTGAATGGAGTAGCTGAAATAACTACTGTAGCTGAAGCTCTAAAGACGTACGCAGAACTCACAAAGGGTTGGGTTATCCTTATGCCCATGCAGTGTCAGTTGAGTTCCTCCGTTTATATTTCTTCTTCTTCTGTTTCTCCTCTGCCTTACCTTTATGTTTCTAATGAAGCACTTGAGCAGCATGAATCGTAATGCGCTCAGAATCTTTCACCCGATTCTGGCTAGTTTTATTTGGTTTATTAGGCCTTTTTCATATTTCGAAATTGTGCGCATGCGTTATCTTATCCGAAAAACTGTGAGTCAATTACCAGTAGTGGAATTATTGAAGAAGTTATGACGATCGTGAAAAATCCTTCTATTTTATAAAGCGCTAACTTTGTGTGTCGGTTATGTCTGTATGTATGTGTGTATGTATGTCTGTGTGTCCGTCCGCAAAATGAAGTGAGTGAGAAGGAAGCTCATGGGATAAACAAACCGCTAACAGAATCATGTAGCTCACAGGACTTTAGCTATTAGTGTTTTGCAATGGCATGATTGTGATAGCATCCCCAACGGCTATATAAACACGCACTTAGCACACTTTCGGTCATTCCACAAGGTGATGCTGTGGTAGCCGGCGAGCAGAGGAGGAACGAGGGGAGAGTAAGGAGAGGAGGGAGAAGGGAAAGCTTACGCAAGGTAGGGAGGTTCCGGCGCTTGCCGGGGGACCAATCTGGTAAAAGCATAATAGTTGCCAAGGACACGCATAAGGCTCGTCGTCAACGGTTTAACAGATGTACTCGTGTCATGCTTCAAAATTGTTTCTTTTTGTTCTTAGCTGAATCTGGTGTATATCTATGCCAGCGGCATGACACAAGCTAATGGCAAGATTTCGATTAACAAGGCTCGCTGGAAACTGAATTAATCTGATATAATCTCTACTGATCCATTTAAGTCAACATTGTCGTCTAATGTCGAACAAGATAGTAGGTTTTCGACTTGTCTTGCTCGCCAAATGCTTAGAAATGCATCCTTTCAACACATCCTGAGACATTCGGTTGACTATTGACGAAATACGTTTGTGATAGATTCTGCGAATACGCCGTTTTTAAATCATTTCATTTATTTGTACACTGCTCTAATGTAATCTCTTATTCAAGGTAAACTTGAAAACATGACACGGTACGAACTCCAGTAAGTTATACGATTTTGGGTTTCAAAGGCTTCAGCCGACCAGCGGAAAGGTATTGATTTTCTAAAAAACTGCAGAATCATTTCACCCGTGTCCCGTAACGTTTCACAACTCTGAATTTTTTCCTATCCAACGGGGAACTTACACATTTTCATCATCAGTGATCTGATCACTTTTTCAAGACTATGACTATTGTTGCGGAACTCTGCATTTTGATAAGCATTGTTTGAGTATTTTAGGCCGTGCTGGACGTACAGGACCGGGTATATGTTATCGTTTGTATTCTGAGGAGCAATATAATAAAATGGATGACTTCACAACATCAGAAATCAATCGCGTTTCCTTGCAAGAGATGGCTCTCCGGATGATAAGTCCCCTAAAGCTTGGATCTTTCGTTTTTTAATTTTACATTCCCTTGAATTATTAAATATGAAATATATTTCGAAATGTTTTTAAGTCTTCGGTGAACTGTTGAGTAGAGTATTAGCGCTTGCTTACATTAATGTTTAAATATTGTTAACATCTACAATAGAGTTAAAGGACTCTTTTCCCTCATTGTGTACAGAAAAAGAACTTTCACACAACACGAATGAAAAAAAGCTCAAAATCCTCGAAAATACGAAAAGTTCTTGTAAAATTTTTCCTTTACAAAGAGCCAGATTAGCCCGAAGCTCCTACTTTTTTAACCTAGTTACTTTTTTCCGTGCATCATTCCCGGCAAAATCACTGATTCTGCATCTCTTACCTTTCAGTGGATCCGCGAACGTTTCCCTTCATTGAAAGGCCGGAGGAGGAGAAACTCAATGAAGCACTGAATATACTCAAGTTCCAGGTTCTTTGATTGTGACTTCTTATTTATTATTTCCGCGATTGATTAACTTAACTTGAGTTACTTAAATCTTAGAGCTCATGTTCCAATGTTTTAGGGCGTGCTATATCCGGACCGCGATAATCAGCTTACTGCTTTGGGAAGTACGATCGCCAAACTACCAGTAGACGTAGCTATAGCGAAGGTAACTTAGATGCTAATAACCCTCATTTTTTGGGAGCTGGAAAGTTTAGAATTCCCTTCTCCAAATGCTAGTTTCAGATGCTCGTTTTGGGTTGTGTGGTAGATCACGTAGAGGTGATCCTCACAGTTGCAGCCGGTTTGTCTGTACAAAGTCCTTTCACCAATCGATCTTATCGGTGAGCTTCTGCAAATCGCATTGACCGGCCTCATTGAAGCATTAATCACTTATAGCCAATCCCTGAAATTGCTCTACTAATTCAGAGAACTCGAAGTGGTTCAGAGAAGAGAAGGTTTGACAAATTCTATGGGTGATCCCTTCACGCTTATAGAGATATTCAGGTCTGTTTCTCTTCGAGTTACCTTTACATGTTTGCATGAATTTTTCACTTTATTCACATACTTTGATTTATTGATTTTATCATCGATCTTTCTATCGTCGTCTCCGTTAGTCGACTTTCTATATGATTCATCTAGTTTCAATGAGACTGTCTAGAAAATGTGATCAAATTTCATTGCTAATCTCTTGAAAAAAGCAGAGTTTTGGAGAGTTTGCATTGATGCAAAAGTGATATTTGCATATTATAAGACGTCGGTTTTGGACCCCTTGCCATCTGTTACTGTGGCGACCAAATACTTTATAGAGAATGGATGCTGCAGAAATGTACTGTTGGCAAGGCTCGTCGGTGGGCGCTAGAAAATGGCATCGATGAACATAGAATGTACGAAATCAGCAAGCTGAGGTTCCAATACAGGTAAACTTTGAGTACTGGCATGAGCTAGAAACAGGAAAAGGAAAATTATAAAGCTATTGAATACATTAGGGTCGCTTCCAGTTTGACAGTGTGCAATTTATAAGTGTTATTAGGCAGATTCTCGAAGACGCTGGGCTGATTGAGAGGCCCGATGCGCATGAGCTGGGAGAAGATGACTCACGTCAAAGAAGAATTGACCAAGGAGATAAGAAGAAGCTGCTTGACATGAAGCGTGAAGCCAGGTAGTTCATTGAAATAAGGCCTATCGAATACAAAACGAAAAAGAAAGCTTGGTCTATAGAAACCAGGAGAAGACAAGGAAAGTGTTGCGTGCGGACAAGCATTTCGATTCGATCCTCAATGACGTAGAGGAGGAAGATCTTGGTAGTTTATCTCAATGTATAGTTGCAATTGAGGCATGGCAGTGGGGTTTTACGAGGAACGAAAGGTCTATTGAAGATGATGTGAAGCGTCGCATTGCCTGCTGAGTATAGCAAAAGGGATGTCGAAAATCGGCGAACTCCAAGCTGCGGCACGCGAAAAGGATGCGGAGGTGGATAGAACTGCAGCCTTCAGAGTTATAACGCACCTTTTCTAGGTTATTCGGATTATTCATTGCTGCTTTGGTTTCAACAACATAGGTTAACAATTACACGTTCCAGCTCCTTTGAACAAGTATCAGGTGCGTCGTTTCGAAGAGATCTTAGGAGGTCGATAATTGCGCTTCACGATCTTTATTTTTAGTCATGAGGCGGAATGTTTGTGACATTACTATGAATGAAGCCTTTCACTCTAATTCATCCTAATTCGACAATGGCGCAATATCATGCAGGTAGAGCATTTTCACTGCTCTCTCATGATTGATTCGGCGAGGTTTAACGATATAAAAAAGGACAAAAGCCGTTTAGTCGCCGTTCTAGACTAAACACGTCTATGGCGTCGTCCCCTGACAGCTGATTACGGGTAGTTATCAGGAATGGTCCTCCCATAGGCTTCGGGGTGCGCAACTAGCTTTCGGAGCTTTGCTCTTGTGCTCTCCGTTTAGCTTTGCAAGAAAAAGAAAACATATAATTGGTCCACAGCTCTTATGCTGCTTCCAATTTTGTGAATTCGTTACTGTTTTTTATTACAGAAACACTTGAACCTCATGCTGATAGCGAAGGGCGGTCAGTGCGCCACAAAATCTTGTTTTATGGGCTGCTGTTGGAAACTACAAAACCGTATATTTGCAATGTTCTTCCTCTACCTGCACTCAATCTCTTATTATTCGCGAAGAAGGTTGGTCTATGGGTGCGTATATAATTTGCTAACTGTTCTAATTGGAATATTAATGAAAGGCAGTGAGGATTGATAGCTGTTATTCTGTTATTTTGTGGTTTTATCCTCTATTTTGTTTCCAGCCTGTATTTCCAAAGCTGTTGCTGAAGTGTGCCCAGTTTCCTACCGATTATCTTGAAGTGTCCCCATGAAAATGCATTCTAGGTAATTTGTGACGACTGGAAATCAGTCTTGGTGGACGAATTTGTGGAGATGACTTTCAGTCGCGAATCCCATTGCAAGGAGATATTGCAGATCACAATACAGATAAGGATGGAGTTGAATAGAGGCAAGTGTAGACATTGTAGTCATTCTAGTTCAAGACTAGATTCGCAGTGTTTGCTTGGGAAAATTGGTATCTCTATAATGAATTCATTGAAAAGCATTTGTACCGTTCATATTCAGGTTTGCAAAGAAAGTTATATGGCCAGGACTTTAGCGCTCGTGTACTTACCGATTTGATTAATCGGCTTGCATACCAGCTCTGTGAAGGAGATATCGAAATATCGTTAGTAATTTTTCATTTGCTAATTGGCTTTGACCCCGGTATATTGGAGCACACCTATTCACCTAACGTGCTTCAACTAAAAAGCTGAATCAGACTTTCTTATTTTGAGCCGAGATTTTTTTCGTAAACTGGACCATCGTTCAAGAAGCTCGTGATGGCGCATCCTTGCGATCACGCGATTGTTGGAAGATGGTGCGGTTGCTGGTCGAGATCATGGTGTAGGTAGAGGATCATGATTAAATATGCGCCATTCAGAATGAAGCGAATGGCTCACCCATCGAGGAACCTGGAGGACGTTGGCTTCTTCACTCCTGATGGAGAGATCGAGAGCTTGAAATGGAAGACCCAGTAATAGATCAGTCGGTAAAGGTTGAAACAGTAGAGGATGAACATGGTGCGGAAAGTGCGGAAGGAACGGTACGAATTCTGTTTCTTTCACTTTCCCCTCTTCGTCCAATAACTCTAGAATTTGTTCCCTTTATTTAGAAGACGACACGCTCATCTGCAATGGATTTGCTGTCTGTTAGTGACGAGGCTGTCAAAAAGGAGAGGAAACCGACGTATTACGAACTGTTGCAACAACGAATGCGAGAACGTGAAGCCACAGTAGGAGACGAGCAAGCACAGGAAAAAACCTCGATTGGATTGATCTCTTGGGAATAATGGGTAAAGCTGCTCTCAATTGTACATAAATGATTTATTCAGTTGTAGATCGAAAAAGTAATTACATTTCGTTTCTGACTGCACTGTCTTCGCCTTCATCTTCTTCCCAAATCCGTCCCATCTCAACAGTAACGAATTTTGAGGAAAGGTTGGACTTGGTCATTATCTTCCCGATTTTCTTCGTCGAGTAATGCTCAAGATGAAGTCATCCGTGATGGCTTTATCTGCAAATGTTAGCCTCTTAGGCCAACGCAATGAAAAACTTTCGGACACGCTCTCGGGGTCAGCATAGCTTCAAGAGTTTATCGGATAGTTCGAGAGCACCGCTTATTCCAATTAAAGCAACGACATCCCACTCTTCGGAAATTTATCTTTTGGAGAATAAAATATGCAGTTTGTACTGCTACTTACCTCATGCGATCCCATATGGTATGTTCCCCAATGGACGCCTATTGAGAATTTTGAGTTTACTAACTCATGTACGGCCACGGCTTCTTGAGGGTCGATATGCTGAGACTTCATCATCCATCTGAAAATGGAAATTTGCGAAAGTAAACAAATTATACCACTGGTAAAACTTGTGAAACATGTAGCACTAGAGTGCAAAACGTAGCGCCGCGATTTTGCGGTCTCTCACCAAGGAATCCTACATGGAACTCTTCTTCGAAATATAGGGGAGCGCGCGTGGAGCACGAAAGTGAGGTGAGGACTTTTTTCTCTTCTGAGCGCGTTTGGAATGCTGAAGAATGTAAGGGACATGGCTTGCTGTTCGATCCTCGCTGTAGAGGATTTTTGCAGTTCTCTAGCTTCTTTTTTTCACTTTCTTCTCATCATGTCTAGACTCATTCACTAAGCAAAGATTTCCCAGCAAGTATTCAACGCACTAAATGCGAAAGGATATGAAACTGTAAAAATTTCACCATCTGATGCTTAGAACTTTTCTGCCTTTCCTCCTACAATCCCAAGGCCGCAGACAATTATCTCCACACAGATGCCCCTATTACATGCAAAAACCGTTTTGAGAAATCGCTATACGCGACTTTCATGGTTAGATGGATTTCAAGAATATTAAAATTGGTGAAAACCTTGTGGACCGTGAACTGTGGATATATCCGGTTAACATCTTTTCATTTTTTTTTTGAACTTTTATCCTCATCTCCTCATCTGGGTTTGAAACTGATCTTTTGATGTGCAACTACTCAACGCTAAACACTAAAGAATAAATTGAAGTTGCAAAGATTGAATTTCCGAGGAGGAAATTCCCAAAGAGTTACCAAGGCTGTTCAAAAATATACAAAACTCATTTTCATACGTGCTTCTGATACATGCAAAAAGCTTTCATAAAAGCGCTCCATGCTCTTCATGACAAGTGTATGTTCCAAGCCACTCCACCGAAGTGAGACAAGCCAGACCTCCCGGAGCTGGTCGATTGGTACATAGGACTCGGGCAGGGAACGACAACAGCATAAATATCGGGAAAGCCTTTCCAAATTAGTGCATATTAGAGCAGTACCTTATCTTCTGCTATAGCTTTGATTCGCGCTTGTGGCGCATTCCAAAAAGGTTATGCAGTGTCAGCGTTCTGCTTCAAATTCGATTATTCACAGATAGAAACGCACCGTGGTTTATATGCACCAATAGGGATTGCAGCGAGATCGAATGGACCGAGTTGATCGCCAATCTTCTTGAACTCCGTCTCACAAAATCCGGTGTCACCACTGTAGTAGAACCGACGATTCGGCGTCATCACTGCCCATCCTGACCATAATCGCTTAACGCAGTTACTGTTGGAGATACTAGTTTCATTAAAAAGTAGTTTTCATTAAAAGAAAAGTCTAATTAGAGGCCATGTCCACAATGTAAGATGTGACCTCAGAGGCAACCATCGCAATGGGTGGACAGCGGTGCGGTTCCGATGACGTCACTTAACGCTATTGGTGGTCTTCACCCTAGGCGCGCTGGAAGAGTGGTTGGAATTGCCACTTCACGCCATTCATTGGAAGACGTAGGTGGAAGCCACCGATGACGTCACCAAATCCGAACCGCCCTCCATAATCTTGATCACTTCCTTCAACATATAAGGAAATCCACAGGAGTTCATCTTTACAGGAAGACTGCGAATTTTGGTTAGAAAATACTCCCATGGCAATTTAAACTCAGACGGGGCTTCAACCCTAGTGCCCTTATACCTATTCAAGCTATTTCCCTTTGGTCGATTTGCTCGTGCGCAAGGGTGCGATCTTAGGATGTCCACACTTTGC